TTACATCGAATTAAATAGCGTCGTTGTGTGGACGGTTACAGGGTTAATTCGAATTAAAGCTGATAAATCCGAATTAAAGTCGTAGTGTAGACCAGGCCTGAATCTAAAGGTAAGGATGTCATCTACTGCCTCAGCAACAACACTCCCTAAGGGAAAGCCAAGATCTGTGGAAATCTCCATTCAAGTACTGATCAAGCTTAACCCTGCATGGCATGGGACATCTGACCTGTTCATGCAGCAACAGACATAAAAGGGCACTCAAAAAGGCGCAAAGTTGGCCTACTGATTTTTCCCATAGAAAGCACCTCTCCCCTAATATGGTCGCTCTTAAAGCTGAGGACTACTACTTTTTTTTTTAAGAGCTGGATCTTAATAACTTATCCATGTGGCATGTCTATTACATATTTATTAACAGGCCACATAATGTTATATTTGTATTTTGTTTAAAAAATATCTGTTTTTAATTTGTCAGTTTAAAAAAGAGTCTGAAGAATTCTGAAAACCTACAAGAAAAACAACTTGATTGCTTAATTAGCTTGGCAGTGTGCTTTTAATATTATTTAAACATACTTCCCATAATAGGTTTTTTAAAAGTGTCATAACAGTTTGAGAGTTGTCACATTAGGCTGTTATAGCTCCAAATGTGTACATTCTTTTCATTTTAAGACTATGAATCCCATATACAATAATGTGACTGCTTAAAAGGAGCTGTTACACTTTATGTCAATCCAGCTGCTATGCAAATACATACAATCTACATAATAAAAATCCTTATGTTAATTTAGGTTAACATAATTGACTGCCTGATAGTAACTGATTTTTAAATTTCAGCATTTTAGCCAATTAAAACATTTTCTTGTCAACACAGCCAAACTGATTTGACTACTGTGTTTACTACTCAGAAGAGAACTTTTAGTTTTTAACTCATCTTTCTGAAGAGAAAATGTGTCTTAAATTTATTCTCTTACACTCACCTAATTATAAAACACACCAAATCTGTGGTCAAAATATTCAAGTAATAGTTCCTTTAGTGCTCCAATTGTGGATTCAATTCTTCATGCTTGAGCTCACAAAACTTCACTTTGCAACTGTAACTTTGTTGTAATGCAATTTCTTTTGTATAGCATTTCCTATATATTTTAAAGGGAAAATGTAGGAACAGAAATTCCACCATGTTTAAGTATGTACCGGACAACAGCAAAATGCACATGTTGCCCAGCAGAGCAATCAGTGAGGACGCAGGCCTTGCCTCATTTCATGCAAACCTTTCTCTACCACCTCATCTTTCATAGGACAGGCTGCAGCAGTACTTTGGCTCTCTGTCATCATCCATATACACCTTCACTCCTCAGAAGGAAGATGGCTGGACTCCCTTTGGTTTACCTAGTTTATGCATGTACAGAGCTGTTAGGAAGCCATTAAGAGATCACAACAGAAATATCCATGAGCCTGCACTGTCCTCTTTACAAATATTTCCAACTTTCACAAATCACAACCAAACATCCTCAGATGACCAAAAGGCACATCTATGACTTGGGGACACGCTATCTGCCAAATGCCCAACATCTACCTCAAGCCACTGAGGCATGAAAGCTGAATTTAAAAAAAAAAAAGAGTTGCCAAACTTTTTATATTGGAAAATGTTTTTGTTTTCAAGAATGGCTGGACCATTTTTATTCAAAGATTACAAAAATGTGTACTCCAGGATTAACATCTAACCTGGCAAACTTCAGTCCAGTGGGTAAAAACTGGAAAAGGATAACCTGATGAAAGTGACCACTGAGAATGAAAATGCCTGGGCAGCCAAACTAAGGATAGGCTTGTGTGTATAACACTGGACTAGGACTCAGGAGATCTTGCTTCATTTCCTGGCTTTGTGAACAGTCTCCATGTGACCTTCAGCATGTTATTTAACCTCTCTGTGCCTCAGTTCCCCATTTTACAGGTGAGGATGGTGCTGGAGCCACACAAGTACCTGTTTTAAAACAATACACCCCTTCCCTGCCTCTGTAGCAACCTACCTCCTCCTTCTCTGGGGGACAGAGGGTAGGATGATCAACTTTTTTAAACAAACCAGACACACGAAGTTCACGCCCAGTCACACTCTCCCCATCAGCACCCCACCCCTTGGCCTCCCCCCACAGACGCAGGGCAACCCCCCGCCCTCTCTCAGAGCCCACACTTCGCTGCTGACGTCAGGGGGTGGCAGAAGGGGAAGGCTACATTTCGGGCAGCAGCTGGATGCTTCCTCCTTCCCCCCTCTCCCCCCCCACTCCCTAGCCTTAGCTGCAGCTGGCGTCTCTTCCCTCCCCGTGGCTTGAACCTGGCTCCCACTCCCCCGCCATTGCCACATCTCCAGCTAGTCGGTGCTCCCCCCCAGGGGCTCCCCCTGCCCAGGCTGTGCAATACAAAGTTTCCCAACGCCAAGGCTCGCCCCGGCACCGGCCCTTGCGGGAGCGCCCCCAGGCCGGCCAGAGAACCAGGCGGCGCTGGGCGGCTGCTGCGCACATCTGGACTCCACAGGCGGGGCGCCCGGGGAGCCAGCGGCGGCACACGCACATCCCTGGCGCCCGGCCAGCGCGGAGTTCGCTCCGCCTGCCTACATGTGGCTAGCGCTCCTCCTCGCCACAGAGCAACCTCCAGCATCCCCGGCCAACTCCTAGCCCCCTCCCCAGCGCCACCCACCTCCTCAGCGCCCTCCCTGTCCCCTCCTCCGCCTCGTCTCCCGGCACGCCGCTCCCGAAGCGGAGCGTCACTCCGGCTGCAGCCGCAGACATGGCGACGCTGACAGTGGTCCAGCCGCTCACATTGGACAGAGGTAAGCGCAGCTGCTGCCGCCCCTAGCCCGCTCCAGGGCAGCGGCTCTGGCGGGGATTTCAGGCGCTCGGGATGCGGAGAGTCACCACAGTAGGCTGCAGAGAAGAGGCTGGTGTCTGTTGGAGACCCGTCCCCGGCACAGCCTGCTGCTTCTGGCTGCCGCGGAGAAGCCCCTGCCTGTATCCTACCCTGGTCCCGGGGAGGAGCCCCCCCAAAGCCGCAGGAGGCCCCTGGCCATACCTGTGCTGCATGCTTGGTGCCTCTTGCCGGAGAACAGGGCAGTGGGCAGGCTGCGGGATTGAGAGGTGGGGGGGGGGGGGGGGGGCCCCCCCCCC